AGTTGACCATGATCAAGGTGTCCGACTGTGTGCGGTATTCCGCCCTTGCAGGCGAAAAGGGACAGAGACATACCGTTCACTGAACACTGTCCTTGTTCGAACTCGACACTCGCCAAATGCTTTATCAACCTCCAAGGGCCGAATCTTCTCGAATCAGAGACATCAAGGCAGTATATGTGTGTTGCCAAAAGGCGGGATTCCCCTCGAGAAAATGATGGGCTCGCTGGTGCGCGTGAGTATTGATGGGAACTCTCCCTTAAATGGCGTTTTTGCACGTTCCTCGAACTGCCGAGGCTTGCAGTTTGCATTTTCGGAAACAAGATGCTAACTGCCGGCTGCCCCTCCAAGTCTGAAATGTGTGGTGGTGAGGAAGCGGGACTCCCCTGGTTATGCTACTTGAGCGAACAGAAGTAGATACTAGATAGATTCATTCACCCTGGGTCAAGAATGAGCGAGCGATTGATCATGTTGGAACTGCCGTGCCACCAAATTGCGGGACTCCCGCGAAGTTCGCGACTGGTTGGCCTTCCCCATTCTGCCGACTGCCGTCGACGCTGAAACCCTATTCAGAATCAGCTTTTATACGGCTATTCAGCAGGCCGACGTGGCCAACATTACTGCCTGGGAATTTCCGCATTTCACATTCTTGGCTCTGCAAATGACTCGGGTACCACGTCTAACAACCATAAACATATTGTTCCTGCGAACCCGCAATTGATTTCCAGACACCTTCTTTTAGTAAATACAATGATGAAACAGACATCAAATTGCACCGGGGTCATTGAACTCGTAGGGTTTCACATGCTCGGGCTTTCCACCCCTGAGAGGATGTTCGACCTTTAGAGCATTGACATTGATGTCATCATATGGGAGCTTGGGTTAGTTGACCAGTGCTGCGAGGATGAAGCTGCTTGCAGTTTTGGGCGCGAACGGTGGCTATCCTCCGAAGGAGCGCTGGGCGGGTTCTAAGCAGAGTTGGGCTGATTCGGAGCAGGTTTAGACGACTCGCTACCAGGGGGATAGTTATAATGATTTGGATTTGAGCTAGGCTGATTCGAAGCCGGCTGGTTTGGAGCAGACTTAGGTTGATTCAGAGCAGAACTGGGCTGTTTCGGAGCAGAGTTAGGCTGATTGGGGGATGCCTGGGGTGGAGATTGAGGACGCCCGGATCCGCCGGCATAGCCACTGAAACAACTTTTGAAGAGTCGTTTTTCGACGTGGAGAGTAGCCGGTGCAGAGTCCACCGAGTCATTCACCGGGATTGGGGCGGCCAGAGCAGCTAATGGAGGGTGAGCGGAAAGAACATAAAGGTTTTCACTGGATGGCGCATAATGTGGCCCCTCTCTGGACCACACAAGCCAAGGCATGGCTCACCAGGAGCGGCAATGGCCAATGCGATCAAAGCTCCGAGCTTGATAGCGTTGGATGGGTAAGAAAAAGCGAGAAGAGCGTGTGATGCATTCCGTGACTTTCGTTTGAACTGGATGTTGTTCAGGAAGCAAGATGCGCGCTGAGGCAAATTGACCGCTTGAATTTATGAGAAGGAAAATAGTAGTGGGTAAAGCGAAAATGAGGACCAGCCTGAAGAAAGGAGGGAAAGGGAAGAGCAACGCTCGTTGCGTGCTCTTTTTATACATTGCATATCAGCATGTCAGATCGGATGGTCTGGAGGAAAAGCAGGAGGGAGGGTTCTGCCGCTCATGCATGTCTATAGGAAAACAATAAGGTTTTACCGTGAATGAGGGGTTCGACGCGTGTTCCATGCGTTGCTTCGAAGGACGAATCACAAATGCAGCCCCACATGTCTGCATGTGCCCGATTTCTGGAGCCATAAAACTGGTATTTGGGGGGCATATGTAGGAATAATAAGTTCTGATTCCACAATGCCACAACCAGTTTCGGCGCCCCCGAAGCACATGCATTTGGGAGCCCAGCCACCAGAGCGCGTACCTACTAGGATCGTCTTCGGCTCACACCGAAATTGCTTGGTGACGATATCGTGCATGGGGTAGCATGTATGTGCTCATGTGCAGCTACACTTCTGGCCGCTCATACCCGTTGGGCTGGAAGGCTTGATGTTGTCAGGCGACCGATTCTTGGCCACTCCTAACCCTACTTCAGTCTTCTCCTTGGCCCCTACCCTCACCTTATCTTCTACCATCTCATTGGCTCTGTTCCTGTCTCTGGCCCCACTCGCACCCTCGACTTTTCCTTCATCTCCTTCATACCATCTACTCTCCGTACACCCTCATGATTCTACTCATCCTATATCATAGACTAATCTTTCCCACTCATCATCACCGACCTACCACACATACCCCAGACTCTACTATCTCCAAACACTCACCCCCAAACTCTACACCCCCAACCCTACACCCCCCTTCAAACGGAGGAGTCCTTTCCTATTACCTCTACCATCTACTCTCTTGCTTCCTTAGCTCTCCACAACATTCTAGTTGTATCACTCTATCGTCTAGCCAAGTCCAACTACCTATCCCTTCATCAACTACTCTTCGACTGATTCCCATCTAGATTCCATACACTCAACACTGCCCTTGATTTTGAAAAGACTGTCACAGGCTTGTTTTGCCGTACCGTATGGCGCTACGTCGATTGTCTTCGCGAATCTATCAGGTAACATACGCATCTCCAGTCATAGTGAGAGCATCCACAGGGGCGGTCACCTGTTCGCTCGACATTTTCGAGATACTTCTTGGCTAGGCTCAGGGCTCTGCGACTTGAACTAGGTGCCTGTTAGGCGCAGATCACTCACCACTCGAAGTTGCTTGAGCCTTGATGTACTTGGGTCAAGAGCCGGGACCAGCGGAGGACACGATACTGAGCGCTTCGAATCCAAGGGCAGGTCGTATCTGGTGAGGAAGGCCGCCCTTCGGAAGCCCTCAGCTGACGTTCTGATCAAGAAACGTAAGCAGTGGCGAAAGCAGCTGCAATACGCATACTAGCTCAACTGCGACGATACTTAGTCCGGCGCACTACTGGGCCGGCTGATGGAGTAACTTGGAGAATCTAGGCTATTGGCTGAGGGCAAGAAAAAGGAACTGTTCTCCACGATTGTACTGTAGAAAAGTAAGAGCGATTAGTATATACAATGACGCACGGGTAGCTGGAGTCCTTCTATCGGGTACAACCCTGGACGCAGCGTAACCAAGCGGTTCACGAGACGAATTTAACTCCCACTACAGGGGAACTAGGCCAACAATCGGTCGCCTGACTGCACCAAGCCTACAAGCTCAACGGGTATGAGCGGCCAGAAGAGTAGCTGCACATGAGCACGTACATGCTACCATATACGCTATCTTCCCCTAGACGATTCGGTGTGAGTGAGAAGATGATCCTAGTAGACACTCGTGTTCTGGCGACTGGGTTCCTCTCTCGCATTGTCTCCTCGCCAGTCGCTCAACGCTCATCAATTTTAAAGCTACACGAGTTAGGCGATGACTTGGCTGAGAAGCCCGGAGTTCGCAGGATGTAGTTTCGTCATGGTGTGAATAGGGTTGAGGGGGAGGGGTCGCAGCAATCTGTGAAGCATTCCCGACTGCTAGGGTCGCCTGGGGGATTATATGGCCGGAATCATCACGGTGTTGCACGGTCTCATTCACGCTCATGTGTTGGTGTTTAATCCATGCGTAGCTGGTAACTAACATGCCACCTCCACTCCTAACACCTGACACTTGGGGTACCCTGACTAGCGGCGCTCTCCACTTTGTTAAATCCAAAGTGCCTGAAGGTTGTGAGCATCAGACGTTCACCGCTCATTCACCGTTCCATTCATCATCGCCATGGACCAGAAGATCCTTGGAGCCTAGTGCGTCAATCAGGTTACCAAGGGGCGGTGGTGCTCGTGGAAAATATGATTATTTGTCACTGAGCACAAATCAACAAATTAATCACCAATTGTTCTTTCGATAGGATATTTCTCTCGGCGTCGTGGACGGTCAGCCTCCAAGCTCATCTTTCCATCCTATTCACACAACCCGTCAGCACACAGGCCCTCGCCTTCACTCGACCATTCACCCTTTGGCCAAGGTCTTCTCTGATTGTACTGACTAGCTCAAGCTCGAATCGACTCAGAGCAAGTCCAGGACCACCCCTTTCCCGGAGATGCCTACGATTGAATGTTGGTGCCGATCGCTTTACAGCGGTCTCGGTGATGCAATGCATTCGCTCCCCTCTGCTTGCTCGCTGAAAACTTGGACCTGACACTGGGGCATCAATACGGCTCGTCTTTATCGGCCAAGAGAGCACACAGAATCTTGGGTATTTGGCAATGACTATCCTTGCCACCTCTTGCGCTCTTCACTCTTCCAGAAAATGTGTATAAAGCCAGCGATCGCATCACACCCATTTTTCATTGGCCTCACCCAGCGACATACGCACAAGTCTGACTATCGCCACATCATTTTCCATGAGTCTGATCGGTATCGCGCTCGCCTGGTGCTTTGCTGCCTTAACGGTATGGGCCCAGGCCCCACCGCCGCGGCTGACGCCATCAACCTTCCTGACTTATCAGACTCCAAGGATGGTCGGAGATCAGCCTCATCATCACAACATGAGTACACTTTGGGCAACCAAGCTTGAGCTTGCTGTACGTGCGCTCATGAAGTCAAAATGCAGCAGAACATTGACGCGTAGAACCCTACAGGCTCAAGTGGGAGCCTACCCTTACCAGGGCGGCAAGTTCGCTGATCTCGAGCCGGTCTTTCAATTCCTCATCTCCTCCTACCCTAACGAAACCTGCGGTACGATCGCAGACGATGATTGGGCGGCCCCGTTCATCGATCCAGGAAATGCGCTGGTTCAGCAGGCTAAGGACGCAAAAACATCTGGCAATAATGCAACATCATACGAATACTTTCTGTGAGCGTGCTTCCGAATATCCCATTCATGCCGAAGAATGCGGAGGCCAACTCCTTCCGTTCTGTAGCCGTGCCCAAGCTCTATTCCGCATTTCCCACTTTCCTTGGATCGGCCCTGGCAGCACTTCTAAATTGAAGCTACAGACGTTCAATTCATCTAAAGATGCACTCAAGAGTGCCATGGACGTCGCCCACAACATCACCTTTGAAGAGGTTTCGCTCGCCTACAACAACAGTTTAAAACTCTATCCCGACGCTCGGGATGACTTCGTCGTGTGGGCCTTCCGTCCAGCCACGACGGACAAGAATGGAAAGAAGACTGCTCGAGCAGGTCCACTGCCTACAATTTTGCTGATCGCGGGTCTCGGGCTTAACAAACCCGATCAGATGGCCTCAATCGCTCCGCTTTTGCGCTTCGGGTACGCCGTCGTTGTGATGGATATGCCTGGCACGGGAGACGCGCCAATCACGGGCCGCTACACTTACGCAGGCGCCGCAGGAGAAGGCACGCCGCCATCTGATACCAACCTATGGTCCGCCGTCGTCGAATATCTTCAAAGCCAACCGCACCTCTACGATGCAAAAAAGCTCTTCGTGCTTGGACTGTCCACCGCAGCGTACTGGACCTTCAAGTTAATGTACCTCATGGGCGAGCACTTCATCGCTGGCGTCGGACAAGGCGGACCCGTACACTACACCTTTCAGGAAGAGTGAGTGTGGGTCAGCCGATCCGAGGAATGTGATGACTAACCAGGCATTACGTAGCTGGCTCAATGCGTCTCAGACTTTGAGCTATCCGTGCAAGTGAGTGCGGTCGACGGCGCGTTCGAACAAGGGCTTAGCCATGCGACTCGTTCTATGCCCGGACACTCTTTTGGTTTGCTATCAGCCTTCCGGTCGCGCTAGGCCACGCTTTTGGCTATGACGATCCCGTAGAATTCACTCGCGAGGCATGGCATTACAGTCTACTGAACCAGGGTGAGCACTTGTGACTGCAAACTGCCAAACTGCAAGTGGAAGCGGATTCAAGTTTTTACTCCCAACTCCAGGTCTTATTGGTACTTTGCAGCCTGGGCAGATTTTGTCTGTCAATGGCTTCGACGACCTGGTCTTTCCGGTCGACGACAGCATTCTGCTGGCGACAGCGTATCCTCCGATCGTGGCCAACGCCACCTCGCCCATTTCTTCTGCAGCGCCTGCTCCGATGCTCCGCTTGTTCCCTGGAGCGGATAACACTGGTGAAGGATGGGGCTTCCCGTACGTGGAACAATTCTTTGAGCAGGCCATCCACGGATTCGGCTCTGGATTCTCGACGAGCCTGACAACTCGGGGTACCAATTCCCTCACTGCCACAAGTGGCGCAAGAAATGCTGGGGCGCATGACCACACACTCAGCCCTGCCGTGATCCTCACGGTGGTCCTCTATTCGCTAGCACGCATCATGGTGCTCTAGTCTGCAGGGCTTCAGCAACGGCGACACAATCGCGCGCCAATGTGAAAGCCAAAAATAGCCGTCACATACCACCATCTTGAACAGATCAATCCGCGTTGACGCCGTCTGACGATATCCTGCTCAAGGATGGAATGTACATTTACATCCGTGTCATTCAAACATGACAGCTCTCTATGGAATCTACACAGTGTTCACAATTCCCCCCGGTCGCATACGTTCAACACGCCAACCTATAGCTGTGCGAGTTCCAGCTCTCTACCAGGGCGCTCGTGGAAAGAATTTGGGCTTGGACCTTGGAGCCTCCTTGTGCTCGGTCCCGCCGTGCATTGTCCAATCACATGTACATTATCCAGGCGAATGTGATGACCACACAAAGCCGGCAACAAGTGCCAGAAATCGCGATAGACGGGATGAGTTGCGGACTCATTCGCTTCAGAAGCTATTGGCCGACATCAGGCCAGCATAACTTACCGTGGCCTGAGGAGCGCAAGACAAGGCTGACGTCAGTCTCGCCTGAAAGAAACGTCAGAAGCGGACGAAAAGAATTCTGCATATTCACGGCAGCCAGGACCGCTCTTTTTGATTCGCTGCTGGTATTGTTCGTGTACCACGCGGAGACCAGCACGCTGGACGCAAAGGCACCCATGGCAGCCAGGAAGGAAGCGCCGTACATGGCATATACGTTGCTGGCGGTTACTTTTGCGACCATATTCCACTTTACCAGGCCCACGAGCAAGCAAAAGAAAATGTGGAGTCCCGGCTCTGGGAACGGTTCGCTAGACTGGGTGGCGAAGATGTGAAAAGCGGCGCCGCACACGTTTGGCGCAACGGTGTAGAGGTCCGTATTGAACTCGTCGTATCCTAGACCTGTGAAAATCTGCGACAGGACCGTATTAACGGAGATGGACGGGATGCCAAAAGTGTAGGAGATGCTGGCCCAGACGGCGTGGCCAGTATGTGAATGGCTTAAACACATCGCGAATGTCGAGCTTTTGTTGACACGGATGAGCCGGCTTCGATCCACCGTCATGAGATAATCATCTCGTCCTTGCTGGGAAAGCGTGCGGTCCGCGGGGGTGGACGGCAGGATCAGGTAGGCAAAGTCGGCAAATACGAAAGTGATGCCGTCCCCGATGAGGAAGAGAATGCGTCAGTCAGCGATCGACGGGTGGCTCAGCTGGAAAACCTCGAATGCGATTAGACCTGAAAATGCGCCGCAAATGGAGGATGCAGCACGGAAGGCGCCAACTCGGCCCTCCAGCTCACGTCTGGTCTAAAACGTTGAGAAATAGAAGACGCTACCTGTGCAAGGATATCAGCAAGTCAGCGTTCAGGCTGAAACCATCGCAGTTGATGATCATACTTCTGGAAGCATTGGATTCTGCAAGATGCCTAACAGCTTGTTGAGAACGAAAAGGCTTGCAAAGTTGTGGATTCCGGGTTGGATGAACGAGGCGGACCCGAAACAGAACATGAAGATGGGCACCAACCGACCGGCGCTGTACTTCTTCACAACAAGCAGGGGGGGGATTCCGCACAAGCAGACTGTAAAAGAATCCACTCGCCAGCTCATCGAGGCATCAACGCGAGATGAGTCCTGTTACAGTTCACAAGGAACGTGAAAATCATTGTCAGGAAAACGTACTGCTGCCCGTAAAGGCGAACGTCCTTTTCAAGTGTTTCCGCTTTAGCATTGCCAAGAATATGAAAGAGGATAATCTGTGGCATCAGCAAGAGATACAAATGCAGTAGGTAGAGGAGCAGCTCCACGCTCTTCCCACTATCAAGAGCATTGAACAGGTAGATGATGGTGAGGACCGGAAAGATGATCAGGTCTGCTTTTCGATTGAGACGCTTCTCTAGCAGATGCTCCTCGGATGTTGGTTTTCACCCAGTTGGAGCCGGTAGGGTACATGTGGGCCCGGCGTTCATCGTGATGGCCGCTGCAACAAACGCTCGAGTCTCCCGCAAGCAAGCACAAAGGTCGCAATGCTTGACTGTGGTAATCTCTGGCGAATTGCAGTCGAGCAAGCCACATTTGTGCATCGCCCATTTATGCTAATCCCTGGAGATAGCACTGTTGTCCGGGGGTGGAAAGCGCTGGGCGCTATCGCCGTATCTTTCTGGAACCGCCGACTCTGCTCGGCACAGCGCACTAGCACACTCTCGCTTTCTTAGCGCCCTTTCCGCCCCTCATCAAAGAAGGGGGCCTCCAATTATCATCAACGCGGGGGCCCTCATACATGAATCAAGATGCACTGGTTAGCCGATGATGAGGATAGACCCCACAGCTGATCGCACCACAGATCACTGAAAGAAACCACAGCTGAAGAGAACAGAAAGAATCCCAATTAGCGTAACGCGCGCGAAGGAGCTAGAATGGGTACAAGGGATTTGATGCATATCTGTACAAGCCGGCATATCTATTTGACTCGCTGTCGGCAACCTAGAGAGATCGTCGACCATCGATTGGTGATGCGCTCATAAAAAGATCAGACACGAAAGGTCGAACGGCTTATTACGTTTCACCACCTCAAGTCTTGCCAGCTTTCATCTTCGCTGTAGCCAGCAGTGATATGCATCAGCTCGATGAGTAGATAAGAGGCACAAATACTCGCGCGCAGAAAGCAGCAAACAGCTCGTCGGCTGCTCCCGCTGCCAACCACCCGCATAGATACGATGTCTGTCCAAGAAGCTGCACCCGTTCTTATCCGAAATGCGACCATAATCGATGGCATGGGATCGACCCCTCGATACATTGCTAGCGTACTGATACGGGAAGGTACAATTCACAAGATTTTTACCCACCCAGCAGATGTTTTGGCTTCGGAGCGCACACGCGTGATCGACTGCGAAGACGGGAGGTTGACGGTGTGCCCCGGCTTCATCGACATGCATGCACACTCCGATCTCTCGCTGCTGCACACACCTGAACACTTCGCCAAGGTCACGCAGGGCGTAACGACAGAAGTCATCGGCCAAGACGGCATCGCCTACGCTCCAGTGGACCCTGAATGCCTGGAGAAAATTCGCACGCAGATCGCTGGGTGGAACGGAAATCCTGAAGATGAGACATTCTGGAGCATGTGGAAGCAAGGCAGTGTATCCGAGTATCTGGACCTTCTGGACACGAGCCGGATAGCTACTAATGCTGCCTTTCTCGTTCCGCAAGGCAACCTCCGCATGCTTGTCCTTGGCTACAACCAGCGCCCAGCCACGCTGCAAGAGATCACGCGCATGCAAGAAATCTTGCTCCAGTCTCTCGAACAAGGAGCAGTAGGCATGTCCTCCGGGCTCACCTATGTGCCGGGTATGTACGCTGCGGACAGCGAGCTCGGTCAGCTGCTCAGAATCGTCGCCCAGTACGGCGCTTACTACTGCCCACACACCCGCTCGTACGGCAAGGGCGCGCTGCAGGCGTATGCAGAAATGATCGCACTGGCAAAAGAGACGGGCGTTCGTTTGCATCTGACGCACGCGACGCTCAAATTTGCGGAGAATTCCGGGCGAGCTGGCGAGTTTCTGGCCCTGATCGACAACGCAATCCAAGACGGTGTGGACATCACGCTGGATACATACCCATACATGCCTGGTTCAACGACGCTAGCGGCGCTTCTTCCCAGCTGGGCCGCCGCTGGCGGCACAGACTCGATTCTAGGACGCCTCAACGATCCAGTAACACGGAAACGAATTCAGCACGACGTCGAGGTCGTCGGCACGGACGGATGCCATGGATGCACCTTGGAGTGGGACACGATCGAGATTTCTGGCGTCGGCGACGCATCACTTGCTTCGCGCTATGTCGGCCGGACGCTCGCTTCGGTCGCCGCTGCGTCCGGCCGAACAGCGTTCGAAGAGCTGGTGTATCTTTTACAAGCTGACAAGCTCGCTACGACCATTTTACAGCACGTTGGTCACGAGGAGAATGTGCGTGCGATCATGCGGCACCCGAAACATTGCGGTGGTAGCGACGGCATCCTGACCTCCACCAAGCCGCATCCGAGGGGCTGGGGTACCTTCCCCAGATTCCTCGGCCACTACGCGCGTGACCTCGAGAGAGGCAAGGAGAGAGATTTATACTCTGCAGCATCAGCAGAAGGGGGCGTATACAGGACTGTGCAGCCGGAAAAGATCTTCGACGGTGGTTTAGAGGAAGCTGTTTCGCACCTCACATACCGAGCCGCACGCGTTCTCCGCCTGCAGAATCGCGGGCTCATCAAGGAAGGCTACCGAGCCGATCTGGTCATCTTTGATCCCAAGACAATATGCGACCAGGCAACCTTCAACCAACCGCAAAGACAGGCGAAAGGTGTACAGACTGTGCTCGTCAATGGACACATCGTACTGGACGAAGGTGTTCCCAATGGAGCAAGGTCCGGTCAAACCATCAGAATGCGCCGGAGCGGGCAGGAGTGGACTGTATCATGAAATGAATTGCAATTTCTGGGAGAAATATTGGAGAAACCGTTCTGGATCAATTGCTTGACGGTGGCAAAGATCTGCGCCTGATTCAGGCTAGTGCTACAGCCTCGATTTCGATCAGCACATCCAGAGGCACTTTAACATGCGAAACAAAGAAGTCAGCGAGTGTTGCTTTGTGATTCCAATCTTATTCGACTCACGCTTTCCAGCCTGCATGCAAGTCCTTGCTGGCTTGGGGGTTGGAAGAGCCTGTAAGCGCAAACGTAGGTATACCGTCAGAGGTACACATATCACACCGCCAATCGTCAACGAAATCTAGTACTTTCTCATAGATCTCGTTGACCGCATCAAAGTCGCTCATATGCTTGAGGAAGATATTGACCTTGACGAGCTTTTCGATGCTAGACCCGGCGCTCTTGAGGACTTGCTCAATGTTGGAGATGCATTGGGCGGTGTGCTCCTCGATCCCACCGGGAACAATATGGCCCGTGCCATCCATAGGAACCTGGCCGCTGAGATACAGCAGGCCGCCAGCTTTTGCATAGTGCGAATAGATATCTGAGCTGCCAGAGGATGCGATGATCACAGCATCAGCTCCTCTAGGAAAGGTTAGCAAAACCATGCTCGCACTCACCGAGACTTGAGCGAAGCGCAGTTGCCCTTTTCCACGCTCATGGTGAAAATTTTCTCTGAATATGTCCGTATTTTAAGATGATTTGGATGTCAAAGGAGATAGAAACAAGTTGATGATACAGGACGATGTCGATCTGGTGAAAAGATTCGGAGGTCTAGAGCGAGGTGAACAAAAATAACATGATGGCTGGGATGGTCCGATAACAGAGGTAGTATTTCGGTTCAGGAAACGCTTCGTCCACGTCGAGTGTCGTCCCCCCACGCTGATGCTGACCAACTTTGACTCATTCCATATTAAATAGTCCCGGCCCCGTTGCCGTTTGGATCCCCCATGAACGGTCGAGGTGATTCTGATTCGACCGAGTCCGGAATCCCGATAGTAACAGCATCAGCCAGACTTTCTGCTTGGTGTTTTGAATTATCCTTCTAGAGGTGAAAGTTCTCGAAGCAGCGTCAGCTTCTCTCCATGTCGCTTTCGGTGCCTTCCATACAGCCAGGGACACCTGCTGCTCCGCGGCCGTCCAAAGCGGCGTTGCGAGCGCTGTTCGGTGGCCAACCCCTCACATCTCTCCGTACACCTGCGGCAATCGTGGACATTTCACGAGTGAGGCGAAACTGTGCCCGAATGCTGTCGGCCGCGCAGGACGTGTGGGGGGTCGAGTTTAGGGCACATGTCAAGACGCATAAGGCGCTTGAGGCCAGCTTGTGCATGCTCCTCCCGGACCCCAGCGGCAGACCTTCGCTCCGAACTGGGCGCGCCATAGTCTCGACCCTGCAAGAGGGCTGGGGCCTTATTGAAGAGAGTGATGCCAACGATCCAGCGGACAGAGGGCAGATGAAGCGTGTACTAGAAGAAGTTCGTGTCCGACAAAACAGCCCTGCATCGATTCCCTGGCATGGCTGACGATCCCATTTATTGCTCAACAGGTCCTCTACAGCCTGCCTCCAGCGATGGACAAACTGGGAGACCTTCTCGCGCTTCGAACTGCCCTTCGAGAGTACAGTGCCGCTGGCCGGAAAGCACAGCTACGCTTGATGGTTGACAACGTCAAGCAAGTCCTGGCATTGGAGCAATTCATGTCTGCTCTTACGCACGATGGCAGTGAGCGGACAGAACCGTGGAGCGTATTTGTCAAGATCGAATGCGGAGGGAAGCGGGCCGGATTGGACACGACAACAGCCTACTTCAAGCACTTCATCAAACTCGTGGACGAGCAATGCCCGCACGTTTCCATCTTTGGATTCTATGTTCACGCAGGTCAATCGTACGCCAGCAAGAACCTCGAACAAGCCGATGGCTTCTTCAACACCGAAATTCGTACCGCAGACGACGCATGCCGCATGGCCAAGGAGGTACTCTACGGTGCGGTCGCGGGCAGTGTTGATGAACGGCACAGGGCATCGCGCCATTCATTCCCGTTTACTCTCTCCGTCGGGTCTACCCCTACCGCTCATGCTGCGATTTCTTTCGAGAAGCAAAAGGTGAACGAGGCGCTTGCCAAGCTCAGCGGTATACTAGAGCTCCACGGTGGCAATTACCCTTTCCTCGACCTGCAGCAGATTGCCACGAAGGTTATTCCTACACAACAGCAGCAGGAGGATTGCACAGACTGCTCGACATCCCCATCAGGATGGGGCGCCATGTCTGATGTCGCCTTCAGCATACTTTCCACCGTTATTGCCGAGTATCCTGCACGTGCATCGACGTCCAAGACCAACAAGCTTGAGTGGCATCCATCCGGGCATGTGCAGCCTGGCGACGAAGCGATGTGCGACGCGGGAGGCATCGCAATGTCCAAAGATCAAGGACCGTTTGGCGGGCTCGGGCACGTTATCTGGCCGACGGACAGGATCGGATGGGAGATCAGCCGCGCGAGCCAGGAGCACGGTGTGCTGGCCTTGCGGAAAGGTGACACAAGCAAGTGGCAGGCAGAATGGGCATACCCCAGGAGAAGCAGCAGCAGCAGAAGCAACGAAAGTGACGCTGAGGAGCCCAAGGCGGTGTGTATCGGCGACAAGATTCGCATTGTCCCGCAGCACGCATGCCTCACTGCTGCCCAGTACCCGTGGTACTACGTGGTGGATTCAGAAGACGAGACCAAGGGCTCTACCGTAAAGGACGTGTGGGTGCCATGGAAGTTCTGGTGAGCGAGAACATAGACTAAAACGGTTCGCCATAGATATTGTCATCACTGGTTTCAATATAAGAAAGTGCAAAAATGCATGCTCAGAGTACATGCCATACCCCAAATATTCACAGGTAAAATAAAGTCCAAAGAAACGCCGCGTCGAGCGAACGTGTATGCGCTCAAACCGGAGCCGCGTAGCCCCAACGAGGAGCATTGACAATCATGGCGAAGAGGAGACCGGAGACTAAGCCAGCCATGGGGAGGGTGAGGATCCAGCTCTAATCAAGCCCAAAGGGGGAAGGTGCATGGAAGAGTCAGAAGAGATCACGTAGGAACAGTTCATTCAGACAGGTTTAGTCCGCGATACTATGACTCACAAAGAAGATCCAGGCGAACCCTTTCCAGTTGACGCTACGCCAGTCACCGTTGCATAGCGCGACGGCGATTGTGGCGCCTGTGATGCTCTGCGTCGTCGATACGGGGAGGCCGAGGTAGCTGGCGATGACGACGGTGCAGCTCGCGCCAAGCTCCATGGAGAAACCGCGCGAGGGCGAGTGCAACGTCAGGCGATTTCCGAGGACGCTCATCAGCTTCCAACCGTACGTGCTGAGCCCAATGACAATCGCCGCGCCGCCGTATGCAAGGATCCAGACGGGCACCGGCTCCTTGGACCCAGGGAATGCAGCAGAGGACCAGATCGAGTAGACGACCGAGAGCGGGCCGATGGCGTTGGAAACATCGTTGGCGCCGTGCGCAAACGAGGCAGTACATGCGGTCATGACTTGAAGGAACGAGTAGAGATGCTCGGCGTTGTTGTCGTAGTGTGCCGCATGCGAATGGATACCACGTAGACGCGTGACTTCCTTGCTGGAGCCGTGCATCTGCATCTTGTGCACGTCGGTGCGGATGCCAGCGGTAAGCGTGTACCATACCCATGGGAGTGCATTGTACCGGAGCACCGTGTACAGGTTCCATGGCTCAAGCCAGGAGCCCTCAAAGCTCTTGTAGTCAGGTGGGCGAGGGCGTCCGTTGGGGAGCGTGTCGTTTGCTGGGCGCGAGAGCTTGGCTTCGAGGGCGGCAAGTTTGGACTTGAAAGGTCGTTGAGGTGAAGCGGGAACGGCGCTCTGCTGAGTGGCTTCCTTGCCGGGCTCCGGTTGCGGCTGCTGCCCCTCGACGAAATTATCGGCGACGTATTTCTGTTTCTCGTTTATGGAGTTGTTCTCGCTACGCTCGACGTCGTCCAACGCTTGCATGCTGGTACGGACATGGTCCTCGTCGTGGTGACCCTCGTAGTAGTCCCTGACGGCACGCGTCTGTTCCGAGGTGAAGGCATCCGCAGGGGGCTGGCGGCGCCACAGGAGCGGACCGAGGAAGATGTGGTACCAGCGGATGGTGTAGTCGCCGCGCACGACTTGGCAGTGCACCCAGGGAAGCCAAAAGAGGATGGAGAGCAAGCTGACAACGCTGGCAGTGCCGAAGATGGCGCCTATGGTCGTTCCCGTTGGCAGCTCGCTCAGATTGAGCGATGGCGAGCCTTTAACGATGATGGCTGTCGTGAGAACAGCAGCAACGATGAAAAAGTAGACCGGGGAGAGGATCAGGCCGCGTTGAACGGGGTTCTTGCTGCGCAAGACGAGGAACTTTGTGACGAGAAAGATGATGGCTGCAAAGCCACCCGAAACGACGGGTGCGATTCCCCAGCTATGAGAAGCAAATATTCGTTGAAACAGTTAGCGTGAAGTTCAAAACAATCCATGGGACACGCTCCTTTTGCTGCACTCACGAGGCGAAAATCTGTGCGACGCCGTTCCAGCCCCACTTAACGCCGCTACCGTTGCCACGGACGGCGATACCGACGCCGATGAGCGAGCCGACGACGGTGTGCGTGGTGGAGACGGGCATGGCCATGCGCGTCGCGACCGTCATCCAGGCGCTGGCGCCAATGATAACACAGGTGAATGCGAGCAAAGTGACTCCCGCGTCGCCATTGAACGACTTCAGGTCAATGACACCGTTCTTGATGGTGCTCGTCACGCGCGCGCCGACGAGGACCGCGCCGAGGAACTCGCAGATGGCGGCGCCGAGCATGGCCTGTTTGAAGGTCACACTACGCGAGGACACGCTGGTGGCCCACGAATTGGCGACATCGTTGGCGCCTATGCGTGAGTGGCGGCAAAATATGGTTAGTGCACGACACTGCCATGCAGGTTCATTGTGCATACGCACCAATTCCATATGCGTCAAGAAATGCAAAGATCATGCTGAGCGCAAAGAGGTAGTCGTAAGCGTGCCACGCCATCTTCACGGTTGTTCCCTGTGGATGGTGATGGTGAGAAGGTTTGTGAAGACGGAAACGCAGCAGAAAAGCAGCAAGAAGAAACAGCGGCTTTGCTGCAGCTCTTTGTTGAAAGCAAAGAGGGTTTGGACATGGGAAGGAGGACTGGATAAGAACAACGCCGAAGAACGAGTGACTTTAAATATCATTTCTGGTAAATGGGCCACCCTGAGTGGCAAACGTGGACCAAGAACAGCTTAGGGGAGGGGAAAAGAGAAACAGACAAGTGCAAGCGAAAAGCTGTGGAGCCAGGATGGCGATTGGGGATCGTTCGTATGCGACATGGTCCAATGCACATCAGCCACCACGTTTTGCTGCGAAGAGCCTCCTCAGAAGTTGAATGGACTCGCATCTCACGAAGAAACGTGTTGCAACATTGGTTGCACGTTCCGCTTTCCATCCATTGCAACCAAGTTGGTGGTGGATGTCCGAATGCGCTCAGGCACTGCTCGGGTTGGCCTCACGTAGTAGGCATGAGAGGGGGGCAAGCAAAACCCCCGATCGAGGCACTGGGCAGGGACGAGAGCGACTGAAAGGCGTTCATTCGTAGGTAAGTGGAAGTGTAGCGAGTGGTCTGGCGAGTCAAGACGACGTCCTGGCTGGGCACCGCGCGGCAACGCTTCAGCGCAGGAGCACAACACCCAAGGACTGGCGCGTGCCATGTCTTCGGCGATCTGATGATGAAGCATTGCCACATGCGCTCTGTGAAAGATGGAGATGGGGAAGTTTCAGAGCTGACGGGGCAGTGATGGAGGAGGACAAGCGTTTGCACGCGCCATCTCTTGGGTCTTTGACAGAAGGCAGTGGCTACTGCAGCTGTGTGATGGAACCAGTGAGGGGGAAGAGAGGCGCGGTTTCTTCTGTAAGATGGCAAATAGGCCAAGTCTTGGCAGTTTAGCACCCACTCTTGGCGCACTCTCGACTTCTAGTCGGTTCCTGTGGCGCGTTTCTGATTTCGTGCTGTGGACCCACCACATGGCTGGCACGTGTGAGACAGTGGCTCATCGATCCTCAATCCTCGGGTGTCACCCCTACACAGCATTCCAAAGAGAGACCTCGGCAACTTCTTTGTTTGCTTTCTTTGGTCACCGATATTCTCGGCCGAGAACCCCATCTGCCGACCTTGTAGCGCTCAACCCGCCGGCGGTATGGCCAAGGCAAGCTCAAGCTCGTGCAGCGCGGGCGTAGCGAGGTGGGCAGGCGTGGGGGGATAAGGACGATGGACGTCCCAAGGAAATCGCGGGCTATCGGAGCTAAGCGTCGTGTTATTCTCGCAAGGCAGGCCACATTTCGTCACGTCACAACTCCCATCGGCATGGTTCCACCTCCTGTCTTGGTGAAATAAGATCGGTTATAAATGCCGCAGCGCGAGGTGCATCGCCTTCGGTCCCGACACTCACTATATACCCATTTCCGCAGATTCAGAGACTTAGCTTGACTAAACCCGCACCCAGCCGCCGAAACACACCAGGACGTTCTATACTGATCCCAGCATGCCCGCCGTCGCAACCAACGCAAAGATCCTTGTCACCTCAGGCAGTGGCTACATTGGCGCGTGGACGTGCCTCGAGGCGCTCAAGCAGGGCCTCTCGGTCCGCACGACGGTGCGCACCGCAGACAAGGGCGAGCACCTCAAAAGGCTCTTCAGCAAGTACGGTGACAGATTCGAATATGCCATCGCGGAGGATCTGGAGAAGCCCGGCGTGTTTGACCAGGCGGTCCAGGGCGTGCACGGCGTCGCGCACACTGGCAGTCCCTTCCACTTCAACACGGGTGTGTTTCATGGAAGCAGCATGCAGAGAAAGCTAGCCCCACCGGCAACGCAGGCTAAATACTTTTTTTCTTTTGCCTCCTCTGCACCTGCAGAATCCGACCCGGTTGGCAAGCTGATCAATCCCGCAGTGAACGGGACGAAGAACGTGCTCAAGTCAGTCCTCGCACACGGCAAGGACGTGCAGCGCGTCGTCATCACCTCATCCTATGCCGCGGTGATCGACTCGAGCAAGCCGGACCGCATGTACCTCAACGTCGATGAAGATTGGAACGAGTACGACCCGAAAGAAGTCGAGAAACAGGGCAAGGACGTCCCCGGCATCGTCGCGTATCGCGCCAGCAAAGTGCTGGCAGAGAAAGCCGCGTGGAAGTTCGTCGAGACGCACAAGCCGACATGGGACTTGAGCACGGTGCAACCTCCACTTGTGCTTGGGCCGCTGATCCACGAGGTAAGCACGTCGGAGCAGCTCAACACCTCCGCCGCGTACGTCTATGCGCTCATTCACGGTAACAAGGACGCCGACACGCTCGCCAACCCGGGGGGAAACTGTGTCGACGTGCGCGATGTCGCTGACGTGCATATCAAGGCGCTCCTCGTCGACCAGGCCGGCGGCCAGCGCCTGCCCGCGTGCTTCGGGCCGTACACATGGCAAGACTGGGCAGACGCCATCCACGCGTCGCGCAGCGTGCCGGACGACATCAAAAAGCAGACGCCCATAGGCCAGCCGGGTAACGGCAAGGACGTTAAGCAGAAAGTCTTTGACCGCACCAAGAGTGAGAAGATGCTCGGCATCACGTTCAAGGATATCCAAAGGCAAGCCGACGACATGATTAAGTCTTTCGTAGATTACGAGAACCGCAGCTGGAAAGGCTTGCCCGCAGACGAGATTTTGCAACTATAGAGAGCATTGTATTGCATGGGACGGGACAGTGCAACGATCATATACACAACAGCGATGGGCGAAGTCCATATGATTCTGAGCTGTGAGGCTAAATAGCATCTTATGAGCCCTCGAATGCCTGCTTGCATGCGGCGCGGAAATGATCCAGAAGCTGATCTAGTTGAGGCAGGTGGGGCTTGGCAGGCAGCTCGCGCGGGAAGAACGGCTCTTTGCGCGTCTTGCCCGCTAGGTCCCCTATAACAAGGATGGAAGACTCGTCTTCGCAGTCACCCGCGATCCAGCGTGCGAAGATTTCCTGGCTGCGCAAAAGGTGCTTTCGCGAGAGGCTTTCAAGCTCGCCTGCCATTGCACCCAAGTCGGCATTGGAGGCGCCAGCCGAAGCGCCTGACTTGCTCTGCTCTGACGAGACTGGCGCGCAGGGGCCATCAAAGTGAAAGTGCAAAGAGGCCGCGGCGAGCCCATGAAGAAATGAGTGGATGCGGCTAAACGGCAGCACATCCGGCGCCTCGAGCGCGACCTGGTGCAAGAGCACGTAGCCATCGCGGAAGCCAAATTCGATGTGCTCGGTAATGGCAGCGACCGAGCGGGCTGGGTCCTGCACTCGCGCTCGCAAACCCTCACATAGGTCTAGCAGGCCGTGCAGCCATGACGCCAAGTGTATTAGACTGTCTTCGCCGCCAGAAACGCGTTGCATGGTGCAGAGCAGGTCCGTGATCGGCTGGCACAACTCAGCAATCGCATCAGCAACATCAGCCTTGGCAATCATGGAGCGGATCTGATGTCCATCTCGCCACAGCGAATAGAGGCGCAACATGCGCTGCAAATCCTTCACAAGCAGGTATTCGCGGCTTGTGTTGCTGTTTTTTTGCACCGCAGTCGGTCTGGTTGCCATGAACTCCTTATAGGCTTTGCTGGCTGTAATGATGCGCTCGAGCGTCGGTCTGCAAATAGACTCGATATGCGTTAGCTGAATCCTCGTAGAAAGTAATTCAAATTCACCCACCGATTCAAGCGGGGGTTGTCCGAACCGCGGACAATAGCAACGACAAGGGGGATTCCAGCCTCGTCCGCCGACTGGCGTACCATAGCCTTGAACGCCTGCGGAGCTTCGACGAACCTGCGAAGCTTCTGCTCGACCGTGTTCGATCGAATTCTTTGTCGCAGCAGCTTGAGCTCTTTCTGGATGGACACGGGATCGTCTTGCAGGAATAAGTCGAGCATATCTTGCACGAACCGCCGCTGGAGCAGCCGATGTTGAATTTGCTTGACCATGGCGAATGCAGGACTGCGCATTGAAGACGCAAGCGTCTGCCAAGGCAGCATCTTGTACAGCTCCTTCGCACGGGACAGGTTTCCGTGAGACTCGTCGCCAGCTACAAAAATACCATAGGCCAAATGTGCAGCTTGAGAAGCGATCCACTTGAGTGCCAATTGATAGTCACGCGGAAGTTGGCCGATGACGCTACAAGACTTGAAGAACTGGGGTATCTGCAAAAGTTCATCTAGCGATGGATAAACATTTAGCTCGAGCTCCTTCCGGCAAGTGTGAAGCAAGTCGCTTACCTCCACTAAGACAACGGTAGGCAAGACTGAAGACCTCGTTTTGCATCGCGCCAGAGACGAACGCATCCCGACCTGCGCTCATTATTCTTTCCTCCGCTTTCAAGTCTTGAGCGATCAATGCTTCTTGTACAGCGGCCTTCGCCTTCTTCAGCTCGTGCTCGGGAACCTTGCCGGTGACAAGAAAAGACTGTAGTGCATGGCTATGACCGACACCACGGATGGCAAGAACGTCGCGAAGCCATCTTCGCAAATCCTTGGCGCGAGCTGCACGTTCTGTTGTCAACAATTCGTCTCCTTCAGCGAGCGACAGATTGAGCTTTGACTCTGATTTCAGGTTGAGCGACTGGACAGAGGCAGGCGGGGAAGGCTCGCGAGGGGGCTTCCCAATGCGGGTTTTTTTAGGATCTGATCTGGACCGAATTTCCACCTTCCTTGGCGATTGCACGATTCCTTCGTGACTCGTTTTGTTCAAAAGCTTCGGAGACGGAACCTGGTGCTTGACGGCTGGCCCAGCAAACGCAGCTCTTTGCAAGCGCCTAGCAGCCTTTGAGCGAGGCTTGTCCAGCTGTGGTTCTTCGTCCGAGTCGCTGTCGAGATCCTGGTCATCGGCCTCGAAGGCATTGCGCGGCCTTGCAAGCGATTCCCTCACACCTACCGAGTCGCAGCGTGCTGACGTCGGTAATTGCAGGGACGCCGTGTCAAGGAGAACTGGTCTGTGCAGGGCAGATGCGCCTGGCAATCTTGGAATCGCAACCTTGCTGCCCATCTCTTTGAGCAGATTCTTGCGAAGGATTTGGAAGTGCTGCTCTGTGCGGAAAATAAAATTGTCCCACCGGCTCGGTCGCCGAACGCGCAAGACATAGGCTGCCGCGCGAGCCGCGACAATGTCTACTTCAAACCCACCGTTGCGCAGTTGGTCAACTGGCAGCCGGTACGGCAAGAGCAGCATCGAGCCATAGTCCAGCTGAGGAATCTCCTCAACGGGCGTCAGGCCGCAAAGCTGCCAAGCATAGAGGTGTGCCAGGATGGAAACTGTGGTCTGTTGAAGGCAGCTGACAGTCGAAACTGCGCTGAAGCGAGTAGCGTCGCCTTCTCCATGCCGATCCACATACCTGCTGACCTTTTTTTCATGCCATGACTTTGCGATGGGCAGAATGGCTTTGCGAAAGAATGCCTCCGCGCCAGGTTGCGAGCGCAGCAGGCATTGAAGCATCGGGAAGCTGGCTTGCTGATCCTCATAGGTGTGTGCGTGGCAAATTTCCCACCAAAGCTCGCGCTCTGCAAGCTCGTGCACGAGCGACCTCTTCTGCCTGTCGTCCATATGCGCCAATTGTGCGGGTAACGAAAGCTCGCGGACGGAGGTGGCTGTGCTCACAGACGGTGGCCGGACCAGCACGGTCGTACCGTACGGCAAACAAGGGTCTTGCGCTTCCTCAGCCTCAAATTGCGATTGCCCAATTGTAGACCAGAAGTTCTCTTCTTTTTCCCGTTCTTCTCGCCACTCCAGCTCAAGTGTTGTTGGCGCTTGCTCGTACACAGCAGATATGATGCTGGCGGCATCCGAGCCTAGTAGGCTCGGTGCGAGACTCCGAAAACTGCCGGTCCTGATGTGAAAGTTGGCGCCATAGCGTCCGGCTGCATCGACGCTGTTGAGGCTACTTGTGACAGACATACTTCTCGCAAGGCCGCTTGCGTCGCCACCCGTCGGGCTCTCAATCACGGTCATTTTCTTTTCCTTGCCAAGCCCACGTGTGTCCAGCGGCGCGAATGCATCGCGCCCGGCCAGCTTAGATCGTAGAATATATTCGACCTGCTTCATCTCCCCTGGTCCTGTGGCTTCTGCGTTTGCCGCCGTAGCGACTGCCCCTTTCCCCTCCTCGTCTGTCGTGTATGCATGGCCGTATGAAAATTCGAAGCCCGGTGTCGCCGACCCACTATGCCCATCAACAGAACACGAGATGCTGCTGTTGAATATGCTGTGGCGAAAGCCGAGCCGACTGCTGGAGAGCGACCGACTACTCGCACCTGAGGTTTTGCGCTCGAGGTCTGTTCCCAAACCACCGGGCCCAAGCGTGGCATCCGCCAAGGCGGCTGCATCAGCATCCGCATTGCCGAAATCGAATGCATGCTTCTCAGCGCGCGGCGTATTGGCCTCGCTACACTCTCCGCCCGAGTCCGCAGAGAAGAAAGCGGACGCACCGCTAGAGGATGTGGAGCCGTTCCGGAACAGCGCAGTGGTGGGTAACACAGGGAGAGCGTCGCTAGTACACCCAGCGCCATACATACTGCGTGCCTGCTGTATTTTCTGGCGATTGATCGCAGATTTGGCCTTGCGAGTTGCGCGCATCGTGCCGTCATCATCCTCCATGCCCAATTCGTCGAGCAGAAGTGCATGCGCCTTGTCTGGGTCTCCTGTCGCTGTCACCGTTGCATACATTTTGTCGTTGGTTGTGTCCAAGTCAGCGGCGACGCCTTGCTCTAGTAGCGACTTCCATGACTGTTGTTGCGACAGCGCATCCTCTTCCATTCCTGCTGCGGCCGCGAACACAATTGCTCGTGGGGACGAAGGCATCGATGCCACCGGCAACTTGAGAGGACTCGCAGGCGCTCCGCTCGGCAGGCTGAGCTGCGTGGAAGCCCGCTTGTCTCGCGTTGAGAAAGAGCGTATGCTGGAGAAGCTGCTGCGAATGCTGAGGCTCAGACTCGTCCTAGCAGACACGCTGGCAGCGTCATCTCCTCTCGTGTCGTTTCCTACGTTACCGCTTAGCTTCTCGCTCGTTGCAACGTCCCTGCTCTTCGTTTCCTCCTTGAGGAGCTCACATGATATCTGCCTTCCCTTGTCCTGCTCCTTTTGTTGCCCCTTGTCCGCCCACTCCTTTTTACGCAGAGCAAGCATCTTGAGGCGACTTATCACGCTTCTTTTTCCATTTTGTTCGACCTTGTTCGAACTGTCGACATTAGTTGATATCGCCGTATCGGTATTGTGCTTTTTTGGCGCTCGGGACATTGTCAAAACTTGCTCGGGGGCCGCCGACTCAGCCGATATGTCCGCGATAGAGCCCTCGCCAAAAGCTTCCATGGAAGAGTTTCTTCCTCGCGACAAGAAGAGACCAGTGGCTGAAACCCTGACCGTTCCGCTGCCGGTTCTATGGCGGCTGCTACGAGCATCCTCACCAACCCCGGCTCCTGTAGCGGGACTCTTGCGACTTCGCAACCTGATGGTGCCATGGCCTTCGTCAGCGCAGGTAGCGGGACTACTCTCACGAGAGCTGAGTGTGCCAGAACTAGCGACGCCAAGAGCACTGGAGCTTCGGCTGGCGGTGCCGCTGACGATTTTGCTCAGATTGCCGCTGCTGTTGGATATCAGAGAGCTCCGGACGGAGGCAAATCCTAGGCCTGCGAAACGCGATTGAGAGCGTTTACGCGCATGCGAACCCGCTTGGGAGAATGCGGCTGCGGCTGGGGCCGCTGCAGCGGAAGTAGAGTCTCGCCCCGCTCCATGTGACGTCGTTCGCCGCTCGCGCCACTCGTCATCGTCACTGTCCGAGCTGAAGCCTTGGCTTGCGGCTGATGCTGACGCGGAGCCCGAGGGCAACGCAGAGCTCGAAGCGGAAATTTCTCCGCATGGATTGGATCCGGTAGCTGGCATGAATTCGTCCAGTGTGCGGCTGCGCCTTGTGCTGATGCCCATGGCATCTGAGTCGGGACGTGGGGGCCTTGGAGGCGGGACAGAGGCGAGTGCCTCATCTGCGAGCGATAGCGAGGTCGATGTGGATGTGCTCGCAGAACCGCCAGACAGGGATGGAGAGCGGGAGAACGTCGACCGCGATCGCGGCCTGGTTAGCGTCGGCCCGGAGAGCAGAGTGCTGAGCGAAGCTGTCGGACGGTGGTAGCGCGCCGTATTTTTGTTGGATATTAAGGGGTTGGCGATGGCGCTGCGGCCGCCCCTGTTGCCTAAGCCGTTGCTCGGCCCGGCAACGGAAGCCTCGAGTAGATCGGGAAGCGAAGGCAGGAAGCAAGGGTTACTGATGGAAGCGTTCGGAGACTGTGGGCTCGCTTGACCAGCGGAAGAAGGCGACGCCCTTGATCCGTTCTGAGCCGCATCAAGCAGGTTGGGATCAGCACCCACAGCAGCACCTGCAGCTCCGGAGCCAACAGCAGACGCAGCAGCTCTAGCGCGGAGAGAAGAATTGCTGCTCCCCTTCCTTAGCCTGGCCAATCCAGGTGGTGGTGGGGGTACATCGTCTTCATGTGGAGAACAAACTGTTGAATTGAGGGATTTTATGCTGTTTATACGGCGGCGAGGGCGCCGTGAGACCGAAGAGTACCAGCTAGGGCGCGGTTCGGAGTCAGTGGTGGAGTGTGCTAATGTCATTGCATGGGAGCGCGCGTCGTTTTCTCGCGATTGCGCCAAGGCTGACGTCGGAAGGGACGGGTCCGTTTGAGAGCCAGCTTCAGGCGCGTCCTGCGCCATACGACTATACGAGGTAGTACCCTGCTCGCAAGTCTCGGCGTACGCGGCGCTGATATGGTGAGCGCTTGATTTCCGCATTGGTAGGCCCATCGAGGGAGCGGCCGCCAGAGAAGGATGTTGCTGCACGACTTCCTCGACGTCAGTGCTGAGCGCTGTCCAGAATTGGCCATCACTCGCGTCCCAGGAAGCAGATCCGCCTACAGTACCAGCGGCGGTGTCCGATCTTTTTGTTTCGTTGAACATGGTTTCTGCTCCCTCTGGATTGTCAGCCAGCGCAATTGAGCACGTAGCGCTGCGGCTCTTTGATGGAACGCGTCAAGTCGATTCTCCGCCAAGCACTTCAGATGAAACCTGGCGCAGATCGAAATGATCCAGTTGGCGCTGCAGGTCAGCCTTTGTTGATTGATAAGACGATGAGGGTTGCACAGAAGCGCGATACACACCTAGGTACAAAGCGGAAGATTGCACCGGAAAGCACGACGATCAACAAGAGCACTTATCGCTCGCCCTTCGCCGCCTGTCGCAGGAGGTTTGCCATCACCTGCCTGCTAATCAGCCAGGTGCAGGGCGAGGAGACTCCTATGTAAAGACAGCCGGGTATGCGGGCTAAACCCAAGCTGATGAGATGAATATCTCCTGGCTAGACTCACGTTGCCGATGATCGCTGCTAATTCTCCCCGAAAAATCATTCCAGGGATCACCATAAACAAACGCATGCTGGAGCCTGAGGCTCAGGTAGGGTTAAAAGGGTGTCTTTCTTCATGAAAATGATATTACATAATGTCGCATGGCGACTATGAACTTTGTTCTCAACCCTTCACCCTCTACGGTGGGGGACGCCATATCAAAGGAATGTGATGAATCGATGAGCAGGTTGCTGCAGGCAACCATCTAACCCCTCCCCTTCTCTTTTCGTGTACAACTCGCCATCGCTTAAGGCGGAAAAAAGTCAACCTGGCTTTCCGTGGAGATCAGATCGTCTTATATCCTTCTCATCGCCGTCAGCGTTCTTCGTATTACCTCTCTTCCAGCCTAGGAGGTCATTGTGAGCTTCGCCAGCGCAATGGTTATCGCTTGCTGGCTTGCTGTGCAACTCTCTAAAGCATGGAAGGAGAGACTTGGTCGATCGAAAGATTGCCTGCGGCTTGCTTTCCAGTCAAATTCAACTTGGTGCTTCGGCCTGCGCTCAGCCAACGCCGTCCAGGTGGCAGAAAAGCCCCAACAACCAAGGAATGCAATAGCTCACCATTATCTGCACTGTAGCAGCCCACAGACTTTCCGCAGGAAGAGTCGCGTCCCTTCATCTTTGGAAGGAGGGAATACGAGGGTGTAGAGAGCAATTCTTTTATTTCTTTGTTCATCAAAGCTAATGCCACCCAAGTTCCTTTAGCCCAGACCGCTGTAAGGGCACCAGCGCGGTTTGAATAACGAAGAAGCCATCAAATAATTTGATTGGTGCTACCAAGTTACTAGACAGCCCAACTTCGAGATATAACAATCATTAACTTGGTGTTTTTTATTGGCTGTGGACTGTCTTGACTCTCCTTAACAAGGCGACCAGTATGATATGCAGAGGTTTCTCTCGGAATTTCTTGAGGGATGTAAATACACTGAATACCGATTGCCTGTCCCATCCATCATTCTCTTGATAAACCATTTGACGCATACCATTTGCGCCCAAATCGCTCAACATCGTAGATCTCCACATTTTCTCCCCACTCCTATACTCTAGATCTCCCAAGCAAGACAGGAGAGCTCTACCACTCATTTGTCTCGTTTTCGCCTTCGTGTTGCGCTTGGTAAACCAAGATGAGCTAACCCTCCCACCAATCGTCGTCAAAGGCAGACAAGCAAAATAAACGCAGCAGGATTTTTGCTTCCCCGCCTTTTCCTCCGAAATTTTTGCAGGCGGTCCAACTGGCAGAGGCCGTGAAATGGGCAGTGGTAGAGGTAGAGGTAGAGGTAGAGGTAGAGGTAGAGGTAGAGGTAGAGGTAGAGGTAGAGGTAGAGGTAG